GGCAGCACATCTATTATTACAACAACCAAGCAGCTTCTCTTTTCAAAAACTCTAGTTTCCCTGGAAAAACTGACAAAAAACAAAGTGCTGGAAATAGTTCCACAGATGGCTGATAAGGGTTTGGTGCTAAGAGGCTCATCCCAATGATGAGTCAACTAAAAGTTGGCGGTGGGTTGATTATTCACTCTTCTCACACATAATATAACAACTACAAATGATTTTCAACAGGATGTAAGAGATATCTGAACAGCCTGATAGATCAGAGAAATGCATTGTCTAGTCTGTGTGGGCTTTAGACCTCCATGAGATCATATGTGCTGACTATGAGGGTCTAAAGTATGAAGAATAAAAGGCAAAAGTTATCCATGGGTACAAAAATGGACAGAGGCTTGCTCACTGCATGACTCAGCGATTAGAAGTATGGAAAAGAAACTCAGACATTTCAACATCTTTTTTCTGAATCCGCCATTGTAGCATGGCATAGACAATTCACATTTTCAAGAACACCTGCTTGCTTCTGATGATTTCCTTTAGCTAACCAATGAGTGTTTGACTTACATGACTCATCCAATCACACAAATTTTCACTAGATGTGGATGGAGCCAATGATCTGCATTGGATGGAGCACATGACGAGAAATAAATATTTATAAACATTAAACCGAAGCGAGACGAGCAACGTTTGTTTTAAAAATGTAAGGTATAGAAAGTACAGATAGTTGTGTGAAAATGTAATGAGTAGAAGTCAGAAGCAGGAAGAAAACTAAGTAATGGAGTAAAGTATAGATTCCTCAAAAGTGTACTAAAGTACAGAAATGAAGTATTTGTACTTCGTTACTTGACACCACTGATTAATATTATCACTAAAAAATTAGAAGGGCTATTAATTACTGATGCAGGCCAGCTTTTTTTGTTATCTAAGCGTTTAGCTATATTGGTACTAAATTTAAGAACCCTTGTTGAGGTCAGACTTCGCTCAGTTTGCTCTTTATTCTTAGTGTTTTTCCCACTGATAACTATGAAAATCTGACTTCTGAGAATGAAGAGGATGCACTACTGTTTGTCCTCTAAATCAGCCAGGTACCATTAAAATGCATTTTCTGACCTTTTCAAAGGAGAACAGCTTGATATATGTATGAGGGATTGTATTATTATTGTGTTGTACTTTATTGCTAGAGTAAGGTAACATATAACTAACATATATTTCATATAAACTACTTCAGCTTATAATCTTATTATTACCTTATCATTTATGACCACTTTGTTACTCTTGGTTCTCTAAACATTTACAAGGAACGCAAATACTTTTAGTAGTCCTTTTAGTAAGTTTTTTACTACATTTCCTCCAGTTGTGAACCACATCCTCGTATTTTGTTATGGCTTATCTAATAGAATACAGTGCACAACTCAGCATGGAGTAAGGAGGACTCTGTCACAATGGCTCAGAACATTTTATTGATAACATCTAAATTTGCAGCAAAAAGAATAACATAGCCTAGATAGCTTCACCACTGATTTGGAAAATACATTCCCTGAATATTCTGTGTGGAAAGGTTTTTGTGAACATGTAAAGGTTTTTTTATATATAAAAGGTTAGTATTTGTATTTGTATCAAATCAAGTAATATCTCGATGATCAGGCTATGTTTTGATTTGCAGTTTTCAGCGGTTTCAAAAAAACAGAGAAAGCAAATCCCACATATATAAAAACAACTTTTGATGGCTCAGATAATGTGGAACTGGTTCCAGCAAAGCTTTATCAACATTTTTAGCTGGGAATGCATTACAACCTAGCAAGCTCTTCTTGGGACAGATATTTGTGCTGTGTTACCATAACTGCCCAGGAGGCTTCATGTTTACATACAACAAAATACAAAGTGCAAACATTGAGCTACCGTTATTTACTGTTTCGATGTGCATGCACGCGTTGCCAGACTAGTTTCCCCTCAGGTGATTGAAAACTGTATTTTCCTTGCGTCAGCAAAAGCCTTCTCATGACTTCAACTTCTTAAGGTTACCTAAAAACATCATAACCCTTCTGATGTGTTGGGCTCAAAATAATGTCTTGATATATTGCATAAAAGTAGCTTAATTAGTGGCTCAATAAACAGAGAACATGCATCTTCTCTGTGTTCAGCATGGCCTTTGTGAAAAGTGAAGAAAATAAGCTTTGATTTATGGCTCATGGGCTCAGATGTGAAGGTGAAATAAATTCAGCGCAGAAACGTTCTGCACAGCACAATTATCAGCGACTCAAGGCCAGAGCTGAAGGCTGACGAGTGAGAGCCACCTGAAACAAAATCCCTCTCCGTGTTTATACTCCTGACGCCATGGAACAGGGTATGTACCCGTCAAGCTGACCTCAATCACACATGCCTCATCACCATAGCAAAAAATAAAACAGTCTGAGTAGGAGTTTGAAAAAGGGTTTCAAATAAAGTTCTGATTTTGGGATTTGAGCAAATAAATTGAGCCACAGTCCTGTTCCTTTCACTGACTGCAGACTAAGGAGCAGGAACTGCAGCACAGGAACAAAACATGATGCATTCTGAGAATGAGTCAGGGCTCTAGCTGCCTCTTGATCTGCAGAAATATTCTGCCTTTAGAGCCCTTTTCAACATGAGCATTGAAGGTAACTAACAACAAGTTATCCCTGCTACAAGCAGGTGTGCCTTCTGGAGGTATTTGAAATTATTGCTACATGCAATGCTGGGGCGGCACCAAAAACAAAATCCAGAAAGTTTCAGAAATGTTAATGGACTGTAGAGCTTTCAAGGTGGTGCTGGGATGGAGTCGGGAGAGATTAAAGTGAACAAAACAATCTTAAAGCTCTGAAGGACAACAAAAGGAAATAAATAAATAAGGAAATAAATGTAGGAACTATCCCTTTAATAATTCAAAGAGAAATATACTAAGCTCTAAATATAACAAAATACAGCAATGGATCTTGGCTATAAATGTTTCACCATCTGAAAGTTTGTTTACTTCATCCAAAAGTGTGCAAGATTTGTGAGGAAAACTAATTTGCAGGTTGAGAAGCAGATTTGAAAACATAGACTGAGCCTATAAAACATGCCAGATCATCTCTGTTGATGCCAACAGTTTGTTCTGTTTTTAAATCTTGTTTTGCTGTTCATTGGATTAAATTACTAGAGCAAGAAGAAATGGTTCAAATCAGGAAACTTAGAATGTATTCATGTATTAACAGAGACCTCAATAGTAAATGGGAGCGCCCCCTGGAACCTCTGCCTGGTGCTGGAAAACAGCTTGATCAAACCCTGCTGTGGAATGGCATCCAGTTCTTCAACCAGCATTTTTTGGCACCAATAAGCTGATATATTTTTGTTTGCTTCTCTGATTCTTTTTAGAACTAAACTAGCGACTAAAGTGAAAGTTCTTTTCAGCTGCAGTTTGTGGAACAGTCTCCCACTATCCATGAGGTCCACCAGAAGCTAATTTTAAATCTATATAAAAAAAAAAAGAAAATCATCTGTTTTCTTTGGCTTTTAATGCTTGTGAGCTGGAGCATTAAGCCAGCAATGTTAATATATTTGTTTCTGAATTATTACTTTATTATGTGTTTTTTACTGTTTTTGCTTTTACAATTTTATTGTTTGTTTTTTTTTTAGTTGTTTTTTTTTTTTTTTTACCGTTGAAGCACTCTGGTCACTTGCTGTGCATAATAAAGATTGACTGAGCAATTGATTGATTGACAAGTGTTTAATGGGGTAGAGGTCAGGAGTGCAGGCTGGTCATATGTTCCTCCACATCCATATTCTGGAAGTAATATCTGATAACTAACTACTCGGAAGGGTTTATCAGAGACTTTTAGTAGAGATGTGGGACTGCCATCTTAATATCTCTCCTAATACCCTCCAAAAGGGATCAGTCTTGTTTTTGCAGTAAGGGAGGCTCTGCAACCAAAATTAGAAAGAATCAACCAAACACTGAACTTCCTGGTATTTTTGTGTTTTATAATATAAATGCATAAATTTAAAGCTATAACAAAGCGTCAGGTTCCTCTTCCCTTTCAAATAAACCGAACGACAGACAGACAAAGGTCCAGATGGACAGACAGATGGTTCATTAGAGCATAATTAATACAGAATGCTTTATGCTGTCCAGGAGAAAGGCCACACCAACATCAATATGGTTAAAACAATAATAAAAAATAGAAAAGAAAGCAGTTTGAAACCTCAGGCTTGTTTCCTAATTTTGCACAGTGAAAGCCCTGTGGAAGATCAAGCAGATCTCAGGGAGCTGCGTGAACAGCAACAGGAGAGAGATGTTTCACTTGTTGATGGTGATGAGTCCTGCAATTTGCTGTGGTTTTATTCAAAATGTTCAAGCTCATAATGATTCTGCATTCTGCTAAATCCCATCTTGCTTTAAATAATAACACTATGCACACTTTAGATAACAGCCTGCAATAAAAGCCCTCCTGAATGTTTAATGTGTAACTCTCCTCATTATTGCTATAAACTTTTGCCCTGTGCACTCACACCATAAACCTCTCTTTTATTGAAACAACACTGAATATCAACTGGAAAACATTTTCATGCTCTCACAGGGTGGGTAGCATCCGGAACACAGCAGAGGATCCAGGCGGTTGGGGATCTTGCAGTATCTCTGTAGTTGGATGTGTTGATGAAAAAACCGGCTGCACGTGTCAGAGCTTGCCTGTTCCTGGTGGTGACTGAGGCAGCTTTCACCCAGATACCCAGTGAAGCTGTGCCTGTCACCAGCATCAAAGCACGTCTTTCCAAGATCTCACAAAGCATCAGGCATTCATTGAAGTTATGAAAAACCTCACCTTATTTTGCCATCTTGGGAATAATCTGATAAATGCTGCAAATAGTTGCATCTTTCGGTGTCTAATAACTTTTAAACATAGCTGAATATGTTTTTTTTATTCAAACTGATAAACTTTTTTTAACTCTTATATTGAACTAATATACTTCAAAGATGAGTGTATGAATATAAAATGAGTCTTAAAGCTTACCTGCAGAGATGTCTCCGTCACTTTGCTCTCCAGAGTCTGAATCCATCTTTTCCTTCAGGAGGCACGGAGGCTGCAGAAGCTCTCTTAGTCCTCTCTCTTCTTAGTCTCTTTCCTCTTCAGAGAAGAGTAGGCTTCTTAACCCAATAGGGAAAGGAAGACATAAAACGCAACTTCTGGTGTTCTCCCACTTAATGAGCTCAGCTTTCTCTCTCAGTGTGGATCTTTGGACTTCTGAGAGGAATGCTGCTGGTTTGCTGAGCTGTCCTCTCTGGGTTTTTTTTTTGCACTCCCTCAGTTTCTCCTTTTACTTCTCCCTCTCATCTACTTTCCCATTTCTGATACTCCCTCCCCTCTCTTACTCCAAGTCCGTCCCCCTCTACATTTCTCCCTCCCCTTTTCCTGCCACTCTGTCCCTCCTCCTCCTCCTCTCATTTGGTGCTGTCACACTCTTCTCCCACTCAAACTGTGTTTTTTTTCTTTACCTCTCTCTGTATGCTGTGAGTGCTGTCTCTTCCTCTTTCTCTCTTCCTCTCTCCCTCCCTTTCTGTCACTGGGTAAGAGTGCTGCCTGTGTTTCAGCACAGCAATGGGAAGGACTTATTCATGGGGACTTGAAATGCAACTGCTGCAGCAAAAATCCCATGACCTTTCAGAGCTGGATGATTTAAAATCAGGAGTGGGTTACATGGCATCAGATAATCAATGATTGGTTCAGAGATGTTCGGAACACTTGTTTTATACAGATCTGTTTGATGATTCAAATCTGAGTTAATTGCATCCATCAGTAATGACTTGTTGACTGACTTGTTGATGCCTTGCCTAATACACCGCACACTTATATATACAGTGCATACAGATAATGGACATTTATAGATCCTGCCAAATATGATATGCTCTCCGGTAAAGGAAGGGTAACATAATGGATGGATTAGCAGAATGACTATCATTAAGGAGTCTTGACAATTAGTGGTTTGAAAAAGAGACCTAGAAAGCAAAATATTCCTCAGCTAATCTCAGTACAACTATAGGTGTTTTATGAAGACTTTGGAGATTTGTTGGTAAATTTACAGTTTTCTGAAGCCTATATAAGACACAGGTCAGGGGTAATGTTATGGTGGGGTTTAAAGCAGAATAAGGTCATAAAACTGTATACTGAGCTTTGAATATCTACTGTTCAATTCATCAGCCTTTTATAGAATTTATGTCACAACAGGTATTAAATACCTGTTGTGACATTTTAGCTGCTATATGTGGTGCAGTGGGTAGCACTGCTGTGTTGCAGCAAGAAGGTTCCAGGTTTGATTCCCAGTCTGAGGTCTTTCTGCATGGAGTTTGCATGTTCTCCCTGAGGATGCATGGCTTCTCTCCAGGTACTCAAGCTTCCTTTCACAGTCGAAAAACATGACTGTAAGGTTAATTGGCTTTTATAAATTCTCCTTAGGTGTGAGTGATTGGTTGTTTGCCCTGTTTGTCTCTGTGTTGCTCTGCGATGGACTGGCGATCTGTCCAGGCTGTACCCCGCCTCTCGCCCGTAGACAGCTGGAGATAGGCACCTACGGTGGCCCTGAAGTGCAAACTGCAACTACAAAGGAAAGACACAATTATTAGCTTCACAATTATTCAATTTATTAGAGTATAACATAAAATATCTAGAAAATAATTCTTAGTATAGGTTTGTAGCAGACAAATCTAGAAAAAAAATTATTGTGGTAATGCATTTGTAATGCTCTGCAAGTAAGATTTGATTGGCAGCATTTTAAAGTTCATATATAAGAAGTATTTTTGCACAACATATTCCACTTACTAAGGATCAGACCAATTTAGGAAAGATTTGTAGAGATGAGGTAAGGATTAATGAAAGCATTTTAAAGAACATAGGTGTGGTAGAAGCTTCTCTTTCAAACCTAAATGAACATGCTCATCTCATCAGTTTGTGGTTGCTTAGGAAACTCCAACTTAAAAAAAATATTTTTTCCAAAATAAATCATCTTCTTTACATATTTACGCCATATTTACGCATTTGCCTCAAAAGAATGTCTTTTGTCCATAAGGTGTAGAAATGCAAAAACATCACCATCCCATGTGCTGCTGGAGTCTCTGAAAAACTTAAAGAGGATTTTCTCCAAACACAAAATCCCAGTATATTTCAAACCAAACAAGACCCTTAAACAGAGACTAGTGCATCCTAAAGACAAAACCCTTAGACCCAAGACGAGCAGAATGGTATATGCAGTTCAATGCAGTTAGGAATGCTCTGATCTTCATATTGGAGAAACCAAACAACCTCTTCACGGACGCATGGCTTAACACAGAACCTCCAACGGGCAAGACATGGCTGTACATCTACACCTTATGGATAAAGGACATTCTTTGAGGAGTCACTTCATAACTGGCTGGAAGTGCTCTCTGCATCCTCTGGCATGGGAGCATGCTCGGAGCTCATCTGCCTGGCTGTGTTTCCTGGACAGGGCTGCCTGTGGAGCTGTTTACAGTTGCCTTTTGTATCTCTGCTACTTTCTGTATCTCTGCTTCTGTCTCCTTGAACCCCAGTCAGCCTCAGCAGATGGCCGCTCACACTGAGCCTGGTTCTACTGGAGGTTTCTTCCTGTTAAAAGGGAGTTTTTCCTCTCCACTGTCACTACAAGCATGCTTAGTGTGAGGGATTGCTGAAGAGTCAATGAGTCGATGCAATCAACTGGTTTTCCTTAGATACAAAACTTTGTCCCTTGAGATGACATGTGTTGTGAATCGGCGCTATATAAATAAACTGAATTGAATTGAATTCTGGGGGGAACATCTCTGATTACATTGAAGATCCCTAAATGACTTACAGAGACATAATTTCCCAACCCCCCAAAAAACACAAAATCTAGTTCTGTGTACATAATATTTAATGTAGCATATTGATAAAATTAACCAAAATATTGTTGTTGTCCTTTCATTGTTAATATATTTAAAATATCAACGTTTAAAATTGGTTACAACATTCCAATTTTGAGTATTACTGCTCCCACAGTCTGTTTTTGAGGGAAACTGCCTGTGAATTATCTCCACATGGGATCAAATGGAAGTGTTGGCTACAGGTGTGGCCAATGATTGGCTAAGTGTGGCCCTGGCCACCCCTGGCCCCCCATCTAATCAGGCCCCTGCGTCTCTCCTGGTGTTCTCACACAAATCCCACACTGCTACTGTATGAGATCAGAATGCTGTCTCCCCAAACCTCTGTTGTCTGGCAGATTTTGTTTTACATTTGTGATGTTACAGAGGATTCAGGAAACATATAAATGTTACAAAATATTATAATGTTAATTTAGCAAAATATGGGACCTTTAAATTCATCCACAAAAACTGAAAACTGAGATATAGTTTCATTCTGGAGTATCTTTACCAGTCAGTTATTATAACCTACTATATTGACCCCATGGTGAAACATTTGGGTAGCATTTCATAAACCAATAATTATGGTATGCACTTATGGCTTTTTCAGCCTGATTTAAGCTTATTTTGTTAATCAGGTTTACTATGGCATGACTCATCAGCACGACCGTTGAAAAGTGTCTTGGGCTTCAGATATATCACATTTGCATATGTGTAAAATGATCTGTTGTTGGGTTTCGTTTTAATCCACATAAATTGATTTTGCTGGATGAGGCTGGGCGGTGTGCTGGGGCGGGTGGGTGTTCATTCGATGGTCTGACAGAATTTATAGGCATTACCAACGTCCCAGGTGTGGACCTGACTGTTGCTCAGCGTGAACACTGGGGACCAGATGGCATTAGCTTTCCTACTCACTGCCCGAGGCTCACTTATCTTTGACTCTGCATGCATTTGTTGCCTGTTTGCGTGTCATGATGACTCGCTTCTGCAATACTGCAGAGGAAAAAAAAATGCCAGTAATAACAACAAGCTGCCCTTCTTTGATCCTGACAATCTTCTTTGACCTGATGTACAATGGAGAGTGGATGTGAGTGCTGTTTGGGCATGTATAGAGGCACACATTGTTCCTGCCCTGACATAGAAAAGCAAACTTATTATATGATTGTATGCAACACCACTTTGTTTGTTGGAAGAACCAAAAATATGGAACCAGAGCTGATTATTATCAGTGAGCATGGGACTTCACATCCTATTATCTGAGCTTTAACTTTATGCTTGAAAATGACACAAATTCAAGAAACTAATGAATTATTTTGAATATATTATTATTAGATATATCTTACTGTAGAATTTATAAGTACCGAATATTCCAAATGAACCTCATCCTTTGATTATTAAGTTAAACAAACATCTCTTCCTACTCATCTCTTTTCCTTGGCGTTTGACACGACTTGTGGTGTTAATCTTAACCAGTCGTGTTAAGTTATTTTTTTGTTCTTATTTTCATTTTGTTATATGCAATTAATGCTTTTCTTGTTTTTATTTAACTTTAGTCATCTGGGTCTGCGTATTGATATGCTATTGTTCATTGTATAGGACTTTTGATCTTGGAAACTTTTAAAGTAATTTATAAATAAAGTTGGATTGGATGAGATTGAACATCCAAAATTTTCTATGTAGGTAAAGGAAAAATCAGCCAGAACACATGTTAACAAAAATTAAATAAAAAAAAAGCAAAATAAATGAACAAAAAAATGAAACAGGATGTCTATAAAAAATTATGACAACGTTTAAGCTCCGATAGCTTCTAGTCTCTAGTCAGTGGGTGTTTGTGCAAAAATTGTTTGAAAAATTACATCTTTTTGTGTCACTACTGTTTCATTATAGAACATGAAGGCCTTTTTTACTCCGTCCTTTACAGGATGAAGACCATAATACAACTGATACAGAGTTGGCCCTGCAGTATCAAATCACCAACTAAACAAGTCCTGTTAATGCTGAAACCTCTGCTCAACCTGTTTTTAAAGTTTATTTTGGTCACTTTGGGATATTACCTGCATCTTTTACAAAAGGGAAAGGGCATTTCTCAAAGCAAAATGGTTCAAGTAGCAAAACAGGATAGAATATGGACAAAAAGTGCTCCCCTTTTAAAAGAATCCATGTTATATGGCTAAAACATTATTATGTGTGTCAAGTAACATGTCACTGCCATAAAAAAAGTCCTTATGTCAGTGGGTAAAGATTAGAGTGTCAGTTTGATCCGTCAGATTTTCACCAAGGGTAAAAGGATGTTGTTATGTAAACTATGTGTAAGGATTTTATGACATTTATTAAGTATTGTAGATTATATCTTTGTGTATGTCAGAGATTGATTAAACTGGACGAGATTCTAATTTAAATTCTGCTGTTGGTACTGTAATATGTCGATACAGAAAAAAATGACAG